TAAAAAAAAGTGACCAAGATGTTCATACCTTTTGATGCTGAGTTCTTACTGATAGGTATATGCCTCAAGGAAGTCAAAGGTAGAAAGATCCCACATATACCAAAAAGAACTAAGGACAAAGTAGGTACATGTTGATTTGGCAGTGGATGAATAAATTGTGGTACCCAAATGTAATGGAATATTATGCATCATAAGAAGTGACAAATATGAATTCAGAGAAACAAAGGAAAATGTATGTATGTGTGTATGTTTGTGTGATGTTTTCCTGGTCCTGCTTATTCCATTCTGCAGAGTGAAATGGCAGAACCAAGAAAACAATATATACAGTGAATGTAATAACATAAATGGATAGAAAAATAAAACCAAAACTGAATACTGTGTAATTATACTGACCTTAAGCACTGAGAAAATGTATCTCTATCCTTCAAGATGTGGGTGACTATAAGTGTGGAATATTGCACATACAGTCAGTAGTGATTGATATGTTGGTTCATTCAGCTGAACTGATTTCTTTTTTTAAAAGAATCTGATCATGAGACAGCTAGATGGTACAGTGGATAGAGCACTGGCCCTGGAGTCAGGAGGACCTGAGTTCAAATTTGGCCTCAGACACATAACACTCACTAGCTGTGTGACTCTGGGCAAGTCACTTAACCCTAATTGCCTCACCAGAAAAACAAATGTCTGATCATCCAACTGGGGGTCATTAAGTGGAAATTTATCATCCCCTTTTATTTGTGGATAGTGGGGCCAAACACTTTTGAGTGAGTATGGATCTTATTTAGGAGTCTTCGCAATATTCTGGGTCTTGATATAATCAGCACAATGTCATTGTCACTTATAACCAGAATGATATGGACAAACTCACCATCTGCAGAGAATTCTCCATCTTGAACTATGCACTCGATTGAATTTACATTTATTGGCATTAAATTTCATCTTATTAAAGCCTCACTTTTGAGTTAAAATCAGCTCTATAAGTACAAGACAGAGAAAGCATGGCTAGATTGCAGTTTATCAGAAAAAGATCTGGGAGTTTCAGTGAACTAAAGGCTTCATGGAAATCAGCAGTGTGATATGAGAGCCAAAACATTCTATGTGAATATATACTTCATTAAGAGGAAAATGTCTAGATAGAGAGAGAAGTTAGTACTGGTCTACTCTGCCATGAGAGTATTATGTTCAGGTATGGGCACCATATTTTAGGAAGCACTTTGATAAATTAGAGTGTTCAGAGCAGAGGTGAGTAAACAATGCCTGTTTTCGTGTGGTCTGAAAGCTGAGAATTTTTTTAAAATACATTTTTAAAACTAGGTTTTATCTTGGATTGGGGCAACTAGGTGGCACAGTGGATAGAACTGGCAGGCCTGGAGTCAGGAAGACTCATCTTCCTGAATTCAAATCTGGCCTCAGACACTTAGTAGCTGTGCGACCCTGGGCAAGTCACTTAACCACATTTTCCTCAGTTCCTAATTGGTAAAATGAGCTGGAGAAGGAAATGCCAAAACACTCCAGCATCTTTGCCAAGAAAACCCCAAATGGGGTCAAAAAGAGTTGGACATGACTGAACTACAAAAATCTCGAACTAAATTTTTTTTTTAGGCAGTTGGGGTTAAGTGACTTGCCCAGGGTCACACAGCTAGTTAGTGTCAAGTGCTTAGTCTAAGGCCAGATTAGAACTCCGGTCCTCTTGACTTTGCTGGTGCTCTATCCACTGCGCCACCTAGCTGCTCCAAATTAAACTGTTTTGAATTTCAGGTCCTGCGTACTTTGTAGACAAAATCCTTAGATTCTTAGAGAACAAGTACAATATGTGTTGGGATTACTTTGAAAAAGTGACTTTGTATGGTTTCCTGCTTACTCAGGAGTTCATATAATTTTTCAAAAGGTGTTCGTGATGACATCTACTTTAGAGAAGTTATTGAATCCTCATGTGTCCCTCCCCCCCATTTAATAGGAGAAGTTGCTTTTCCTTTCTCTACTGTTCTGTATCCATGCTAACCAATCTAATAAGCTTTAAGCACCTGCTTAGTACAAGGTACCAATCTAGAGAATAATAATGGGCAGTGATGGAAAATAGTCCCTGACCTCAAGACCTTACATCTACTGGGGAGTTGCAACATGCAAGATTTCCTGTGATGAAGACACTTGCCGGACAGCCTGTGCCATTTCACTGTCTGACAGCTCTAAGCTGAGAGGCAATGGTTCTTAATCTTTTTTTGTGTTTTGGTCTCCTTTGTCTATCTGGTGAATTTCAGAATTGAAAAAAAATTAATAACTGAAGGAAATGCTCACAGGACTTACAAAAACAGGTAACAGACAAGAATATTATAAAATCATGAATCATTTAAAAATCTCAGAGTTAAGTGGATGATCTTCTCTGAACTTCTGTGTGGGCATGCCCTCTGCTGACCCACATTGTATGTTCTGATCCCCATTTTACTTGACTCTTCTCCATGTTTTCCCATAAATCCTCCACTGAGGAGCTGCTGTATTGGAAGATTTTTATGCTGTTTGTGTCCCCAGAGTTCATGTAGATTATTAAAAACATAGGAAATAAAGTCATTTCCACAGGAGACAGACTTACATTAAATGGACTTGAACTGAATAAACAATTATGCTAGACAAAGAACTTTTCAGGGGTGAAGTTTGGAAGGAGGTTACCGATGGAAAGAAATGGGATTTTATTTTACTCTTTGAAGTTGTAGGAACTGTGGTTGTGCTTAACTGTGCACCTAGCAATTGCTATTAATGAGGCACTGGACAAGTGGTTTGACTATCAGAATGAAAAAAACTGAAAACAATTTCAATCATATGCAAACTTGTTGAGCTTTACTTAAAGTAAATTAGATTATGAAAGCTACTTGACAATATCTGAGCACAAATCCAAAAAAGAAAAAGCATAGATAAATTTCTTAACAATGCAAAAACTTACATCTCTCTATATTAAATACATAAACAGCACTCATTAATGCAATACATACTTTATACTGACCTCTGCAGTCATTTTTTTAAAATCAAAGGCTGCACAAATATTTTAATGTGAGTTATTTCAATGGTTTATGTTAAACCCAGTTTTGATGTGAAACAAGTATATAAACTGACAGCTAAAGTACACATACACTATGACACCCAATGTACCTTAAAAAAAAGTTTTTTGAACACACAGCACAAGTGAATCTCTTGTAATGTCAGGTATAAAATGATGAACGAGGTAAAATTCCCATTTCCCATACTCTTCCTCCCCCTCACTCCCTAATTTTAGTATCCTTGTGCCATACTCCAAATCCTGTAGGGACTCAAACCCTCTAGTTATGGGCCTTGAATCTTTGGAAATTTTTCTTAAAAATAATTGTTTCATCATTTGGAAGAAACTGACACACAGTATACAGAATAACCTTCTATCTTCATGGATTTATTCCATTCTTTTTTATATCCAACTCTTCATTCTTACTACTTTTAGACATTAGACTCATTTACATTAGAAGATGGTTGAGAAAACCCAGTAACATTCAAGTAAAGCCCCCAGCAATGTATTTACCAGTAGTGAGCTTATTATTTCTTTTTTGTGTAAGGGCCATTTCTTGAAGGTCACATGATTAACTTTATAGAGTGTACAGTTGTTGACATCTGTACACCACTGAGGCTCCAATACTGCTTTCAGTACCAGTTCATAACAAATTTGACTATCCTTTACATGAACTCTTAGGTTCCTTAATACTCACAGACTCCAGGAGTTGGCCCTCCCCTAGAAATGGTTTCCATTTTCTGTTCTCCAAGGCACCATTACCAGCTCCCAGGACCAAAGTTAGGGAGCCTCTGTCATTAAAATTTTCATAAGAAAAAAAATTCTTTCCAAATAATTTTCCATGAAGTGCAAGGGTAAAACAGTGGATTCACTTTCAGCTGGTTCTCTTGAAGGAAAAAAAAAATTAAGAAGTCATATCTTATCCAAATAGACTGTTTCTCGTTTTCCTTGAAATACACATACTGCCACTGGATGAGGTCAAGTCTCATTTTAACAAAGTGCACTTTAAACTACATCACCTATGCTTAAACCAGGTATCATATTAAAACAAACTTGTTGAGTCTACCTAATGTTGAAAGCATTTTAGCAAAATGCATATATGTAGTCTTTTGTGAAGCCTGGTTGATTGTAAATGAGGCAGAACAAATATAAAAAGGAAATCATTATTGAAGTTACTGGCTATAGTTTCCCCAGAACCACTGGGGCTTAGGAAAGAGAGGTTTATTTATTTTTTTTTAAAACTGATCCAGGAGTTCTTCCTTTGGTGTAGTTCTTAAAGAAAGAATATAGCAGCAGAACAGGCCCAACCGTGCCTGGTCTTCCCTAAGAGAAGAAAAGTGAACCTAACTTGAAAAATAAGGTCATATCATTTCCTCTTTATCCTTTTCTCCTTTGAGAACAAATGCTTAACTCTAACTTTTGTTTTTTTTAGGCAGTTTGGATTAAGTGATTTGCCCAGGGTCACACAGCTAGTAAGTATCAAGTGTTTGGTTTGAGGCCAGATTGAACTCAGGGACTCCTGACTTCAGGGCCAGTGCTTTATCCACTGTGCCACCTAGCTGCCCCACAACCCTAACTTTTTATAGCAAACACATAAGGAACATCTCACTTACATTTTGGATGTTTCTAATAGTTTTTAAACTTTGTTTTGTTTCCCCCTTGGAAGAAAAAATCAGGGAACAAGGAATGACCATGTTTTTAAAGAACTATTTTCTCCAGATTTGCTAGACATTCTGTTTTTTAAGTGATTACATCATCTGATCTGTCACATATTTGTGCTGCTTCAAATTACAGAAATAGAGATTCAAAATAACCACACAGAAAAAATCTTGTTAAAATGTTTACAAGAAGCATGCCTCTAATAGGAAGGGTCCAGGGCCAAATGCTTCTGTGATTGCTGCATGTGTGAGTGTGTTTGTGTATGTGTCAGAGGGCAATGGTGAAAATTACTTTACTTCTGAATGTAGGCATTATTTTCAATTTTTAGGAAGCTAGCTGAAAGTGCATTGCAGGTATTAACATACCTATGAATTTCTATGTCTTTTAAAGCCATGATTACAATCCTCAAGAAAGGTGTACTATTGTGTATAAACACAGACACAGACACATATACACATACACATTCAAGACACTTACACACACTAGCTAGCCTTTGAAACCACAAGTCATGGCAAGACCCATTTCCTCTTCTGGCTTATAGAAATTTATGATCCTATGATAAGCTGCATCTCACTCCAACCTCAGAGAACAGCTTACCTCCAAGTGAAAAGCCCAGATCCCATGGCTAACTTTAATATTAACCAAAAAAGTTTAACTTAGGTATTCGCTTAAAGTTTATTAAAATGGAAAGGTTTTAAAATATAATACAAATACTTCTAAATTGAATATTCTTTAATTACAATTATATAAATATAGTTTGCCCTTTTGTTTTTTTTAAATATATTCTCATCCTACTTTAGTTTAATGGTAAGAAAAAAAAGACTGATCCAGAGAGCTATTTAGATTTTAAAAATCAACATATTTTCAATCAATGGACATGCAAATTCCACCTTCCCCTCAGCAGAAAAGCCTACTAAATTAGAAATGAGAGGAGTCTTCAGTTTAGAGAAAAAAAGAAATAAAAAGCAAAAATGTTTGGAAAAGTAATCAAATAACAAGTGATTTCCTTCCCCAGTATTTTAGGAATTTAATGTCAATCCTTCTGTACATAAATGCCTCTCCGCTGTTTATGGGCAAACTACGGAGGAAGCCAAAGTGAGAGTGAGAGGGCCAATGAAGGCCACAGCTCCTGCTTTAATTTCATATGAGTTTCTAGTCAAAACCCCAATGGGGCTCAGCTACTGAGTGAAAAGAACACTGCTGCCTAGGTCTGGGTCCTATCTTTGCTTCTTACTTACTGTATGACTTCAGACAAGCCACTTAACTCTGCAAAAACTCAGCTTCCTCATCAAATGAGGATGACGCTTAAGTTACCACTTCACAAATCCCTTTTGAAGATCTGGTGTGATAATGTAAATGACTGATTTGGTTTCTATATAAATGAGATTTTTTTTTTTTGGTCCAGACCTGTGACTTCATCCATTCGGGGAACTCCGAGTATGGAAATTCTCCCTTAATGCAGATCAGCAGCTCATTTGTAACTTTATCTTTGACTTGTGTGTGTGGGCTCTGTTAAGTGACTTGTCGATAGACACACAGCCAGCATGTATCAAAGGCAAGTTTTCCTGTCTTCAGTGCTGGCCCTCTAGCCATGGTGCCCAGCTACCTCTCATGGAAAACTACTGATCTATAATAGCATTTCAATGCATAGCATAATAGTAAGGTGTTGGATTGAATTTTGAAAAAATGAACTAATTTGTCCCACTTTTATTATGACTGTACATGCTATTATCTCAGATTCAAGCCCAGAAAACAAAGAGGAGTGCTAAAGAAGTTATTTTGCATCCCCAAGTTTATAAACTGGTAAGAAGTCATGGGTTTCCTGCTAATAAACAAATTTCTCAACAGTCCCTGAGATATTTGGCAGGCATGTCCACATCTTAATAGAGGTCCATTTCCTTTCTATAGCAAGATTTGTGTGCCAGGAGATACAAGTTCCTCCTTGAAGCAGGATTATTTCCTTGTATCGGCTTAATAAAAAAGTACTGAAGGCAACTGAATTGAAAATAACTTCCTCCTCCAGCAGCCAGAAAAGAAATGTGAAATAGGAAGATTCTCCATCTCAGGATAATCATCTGTCAGAGACGCTATCTTTAAGTTTTCAAATGAAAACGTCCTTCAGGTTTATTTTTTTTAAATGTTGAAATGAGCCTACAACAAATGAGTCAATATGAAGAGAGTTAGCCAACCCTATTGTCTTCATGGTTCTTCTCTTATTTCACTAAAGAAATGATTTACTCAATCTATCTCTTAGCTATTTGACTTCCACATCAAAAATCTTGGTGGCAACATTTCTGTGGTAAGCAGAACCAAAGGACTGGCTTGTCAACTCTTTCAACAGTTTGGGAGGAAGACTGTGCATACGTGTTGCACCTAGAAATGAGACAAGGCATTGGTACCCTAAACAAGAACTGAAAAATTACATGGGCTACTTCTCCACCAGAGGCTTAAGAGCATTTTTTTTTGGTGGGGGAGGGGACATGTGGCTTGATTTATCACAAGATAAATACCTATATTTCACAGACAGCAAGATTTTCTGACCTAAAACGATTAAAGTGTGCCTGGTTGCTGTCTACTTTGCCTATTCCTAGTCCTACTTGATCCCTATTCCTCACTTTTCATATTCTTTTTCTTTCTGTGAAGCCTTTGTTCACAATAGAAGAAGAGCTCTGTCATGGATTTCAATTTTGATCTCAAGTCTCTGTGTTAAATCCATTCCTTTAACTACAGTGCAGGAGGTCTTCTTCAGATGCATCCCCGGGGAAGGGTTTGTGGCATTCCGAGAAAGCACCAGAACCGTTTCTACCAGTCTGGATTTGCTGACATTGCTGCTCTTTTGTATCCATTGTTACTTCAACAAGAACGGTACATTTGAAGGGGGCTTGCTGAAGTTCAATTTTAACAACTTAACAACTTTGCACAACTCAAGATAATGAAACTCTAAGTACCTGATTTTCAGGGACAAATTAACTTTTTTAATTAAAAAAAAAATCTAGCTCCAATTCCACAAGCATCAAACACTCGCAAATAATAAAACATATTGCTACTTAAACTTCTAGCCATGTACCTAAAACAAAAATATAAGCTCTCTGTCCCCATTCACCTCCCTCTCCCATCTTCTACTTCTTAATTTTGCCTTTACTGTTGCCATAAAGCTGTACATCTCACTATGTGGGAGAAGAAAAAAATGACAAGTCAGGCCTCTAGGAAGTACATAGGCCTCTCTATACAATGTAGGCATGCCCAGGGGATATTGTGTATCAGAAATTTAAATGTCAACACTGTTCCTGTACAAGGTTGACTTTATTCAGCTTAGTTAACTTATTATGAGGAATAATCTGAGTACAACATTGAAAACAAAATAAAAAATCCAGAGGGCTTTTTATTCCTTGCCCATCTAGTATTACCATTTTGTTTCCAATGTTTTCTGCTTAGGCTGCCCAATTAGACCCCATTCACCCATACTGAAAAATATCTTGCCTGAAATTTACTCAATCTTATTGCACTTGTACAAGTAATGAGCCAAGTACAACTACTGCAACTAAGACATAATATTCACTGATACAATATGTTTTAACTAATTATATTTGCACACAGGCAACCAACATATTGTATTAAAGACATCTTGTTGAAAATGCAAAAATAGGAAATGTATTGTAGCTTAAAATAAATTACATAACCTATACAGTATATATATATTTAAAATAATATTTTATTTAGGTTTTGTCAGTTTTCAAGTGTTTTGAATAAGCCAAGAATTTAGTAAACTAAATGTGCCCAAAATTCAAAAAGAAAGAAATTTTTTTGAAACTTAGAAAAATATACTTTACTAAATTGATTCCAAATGCCTAATTTCAGGGAAGATCACATAGTGATTTTTAGTAATTTTATAAAGTGTCTTCTTTTTATTGTATGGCATGAAAGGGCTATATATCCTAGTGCTTTCCATGAGTTATAAGTACCACAAAGTTATAAGAATGGCAGAAAGATACAATAAACTATACCTAAAAAGTTATTAATACACCAATCTAGCACAAGATTGCTAGATTATGACCTAGATAAAGCTTTCAGTTCTCTTGAAGAAACCAAAACCAAAATCAGTTAGAATGCTCCATTCAACTACCTGTAGTGCCACCTTCAGGATAGGAGAATGAAAAGCAGGTAATGGCATGCAAAAAGACTTGAAATCTGGTAATGTGACATGACTAAAAAACACTGACGTATATACTAGGATATTAAAGAGACAAAACAAAACACAACCCTCTTTGAATCTCTTATGTAAAATGAAATACAACTGTTGAGTTATGATTCATTTTTGCTACCCCAGTGATCTCTCAGACTATAAAAAATTATTTCCATATTTCAATGAAGCCCATTCGCAATTCTCTTCCTTTGAACAGACTTTGACTCTTCCTGAATTTAGCCTCTTAACCCTCTGTATTTTAATAGTAGACAGTTTATAAATCCACGGGCAAGAGGAATACATTAGGCCACAAGGGTTATATCTGTTTATACAGCCACGTTATTGTCAAGCAAGTAAAAGAAAATTCAACTTTTAGATACTGTATTTTTCAACCTTGTGATCCTAAAAAAGAGGAAGAAAAAAACCAAGAAACCGGAGTTGAGTTCGTGGCCAAAGGGCACGAGTAGCCATGTAGCCAATGGCACAGAGACACACAGCAGGACTTTGGTTGACAAATGCAGATTGTCCAATGGAAGTGAAGGCTTCAACAATGGAGACAACTTCTACTATGATGCAGCCATGTCTCTTAGTTTTTTATGGTGCAGAAAAACTAATTCCATTTAAAAAAAAAAGAGAAAAAGAAAAGACCTCTCTTTAGGTCCCACATCAATGTGAGCATACCCAGTATGCTAGAGAATTTATCTGAAACCTTTTAAATCAAGGCCTCTTTCATTTAAAAAAAAATACACACAAACAAAAAAAAACCCCAAGATGAAAGAAGAAAAGATGCTAAAGTATTATTCCAACTGTCTCTGTGGTGTGGTGATCAGTCACATCATCTCATGTCTTTATTCATTCTCTTCTCTCATTTCTACGATGTCTGTAATTTCCTCTGTTGGAGGCATGTCAGTCATGGCGGAGTCTTCACCTTCTGTGGCTGACTCGTTTTCGGTTTTCTTTTTCTAGATCAAAGAAGAATTCATAAATACAAGGATACAGGCATAATCCAAAGGTCAATACAAGTTGACCCTGGAACAATGACCGTTCATAAGACAGAATATGCTACATAAAAATCTTAGGTGATTGTTTACTTATATCTTGATGGAGGGCATGCATATCATTTTGGCCAAAAATTCAGTTAATACCTGAAATATTTATTGAATATTTACTGTATATTTAACACTGGTAGGTGCAATGAGAGCTACAAGGTAGATACGACTCCTCTTCTTAAGAATATTACAGTTTTGTTAGTGAGGTTAAATATATAATCATCAAGCAATTAGAGTCCAACCTGTTGCAGGGCATTATTAAGTGACAAAATCCACATAACGACAAGTGGGATAGGAGGTTCAGGAAGCAGGCAGTTGTTGGGAAAAATTCAGAAAGTGGTCATTGTGCTTCACTTTGAAGGATGGCAAAAGTTTTATTACACACACACACACCCATTTTACTGTGACATTCTTTAAAGGCAAAGGTAGTTCAAGAGGTAAATAGAAGAATCCCTGAAGGTATGAAAAATAATTATTTCTTCAGGATTTCCTCAGTCTAATCCAATAAGCATTTTTTATTAAGCACATCTCGGGGGCACAGCGCTATTTAACGTGCTAGGTATACAAAGAAAAAATGAAAAATCAATCCCATCCTCAGAGAATTTATGTTCTGTTACTTAGATTCTGTGATTTCAGTCTGTTGTGGCAAAAGTAGCAAGACTACAGAAATCCTTTTAGGATGTTTCCACTAAAAGAACAAAAAAGTTAACAGTTATAATACGTTACTTCCAAAATTTCTGGTCCTGCTTGTTTTGTTTTAGGCAGAGAACCATTTTTTTTTTGTTATTAAGACCTAAACATCAAATGACATTATGGCTTTGAAAATGTTTTTCAAATGTAGTAAGTGAATTTGCTTTTGTGGTAAGGAAGTCAAATAGAAAGTTACGTAGGGAATCGGGCAATCAATCAGTAAACATTTATTAAGCACACACTTTGTGTCAGGAATTGTGCTAGCACTGAAGATATACATACAAGCTCTCAAGGAGTTTGTATTTAACTTGTGGGGTACATGTTCACAGACAGGTAAATACAAGGCCAATATTTAAAAAATATTTTTTGGGGGTACTAGGTGGCACATTGGTTGGAGTAGGCCCAAAGTCATGAAGACCTGAGTTCAAATCTGTCTTCAGACACTTACAAGCTGTGTGACCTTGGGCAAGTCACTTAACCTCTATTTGTCTCAATTTCCTCAACTGTAAAATGGGGATGATAATAATAGCACCTACCTCCCCAGGATTGCTGTGAGGATCAATGATCAAGTAAAGCACTTAGCATAGTGTATGGCACATAGCAGGCACTTAAGAAATGCTAGTTTCCTTTCTGCCTATCTACTAACAATGGTGGAATGGGCAAATGAGAATAATTTGTTCCAATGGCCATGAAGATAGCTGAAGCTGACACTGTGGAGTGCTTAGAATCTGGTCAGGCATTGGAGATGCCAAGGTCCTCCACTGCATTCTGGGCCATCACCAGTTGTCTTAACATTTGTCCTTCCACTGGATTTTGATGACTCAGGAAAAGAAAGTGAGGCCAATAAATCTGCACAACTCTGTATCCCTTCAGTCCAATTTACAGGCACGTCAAGATGTCACCTGTGATGTCACTGCTCCTCTTCGAACATGAAGGAACAATGCCACCACCAACACCAACAGACAGAACAAGAAGCGCTTCTTGAAGAAGAAAGTAAGTCCTTGAGCTGAGCCCTGAAGGGAGCTGGGGGTCCCCAGAGGCAGAGGGGAGGAAGGAGCACATGCCAGCACGAGGAAGGCAGAGATATGAAAGGATACTTCACGTATGACAAACAAGCAGGTCATTTTGGCTGGAAGGTACAGGGTGTGAGGGGAGATTTTAAACAGCAGCAACAATTCTCTCCAAAGATTTTCTAATGATACTGATTTCATAAGGATGACTGTGAAGTGGGCTTGAAAAGAATATACCAAATAGTCCTAATTTAGCATCAGCTATGGCATTGACGTAGTTTTCCTGTTGCCTTCGTATCCCCAGCACCTATCCCAGGGCCCACTAAGTTCTCAATAAATGCTTGTTGGTTGATTGAGTATTCATGGAGTGACTGTCTGCTGAGGCTAATCAACATCTTACCTGTTTTCTATAGACATAACAAGCTGCTATTGCAACCATGGTAGATTCTCCCACGAAACCAGCTAGGAGTGACCCCACTCCTAGGGTAGCTCCATGAACCCTGAGAATAAGAGAAAAATGTATCCTTAAAAAATATAACCCCAAACCATGGCACAAATAAAAAAGTACACCGAGCACAAAAGAAATGCTACCGCAAATATTTTAAATCATCTAAGGTTAAAGTTGAGAATGAGAAGAGAGTCCTGATATTTAATGACAGAGCTTGCATTCTAAAACTAGTAACTTGCTGTGAAACTTTGTATTTCCTACCTGTGGAGTTTTTCACTACAGGGGAAACACAGCTGTGCAAATCTTCTGCTGCTTGGTAATTAGTGATCGTTATCCCCATTAATCAGAAATGACCGTAACCCTCCTCTGATCTGAGTTTTGCTGGTTCAAAGGCAGTAAACAACAAGCCAGTTCTAGTTCTAAATCCAGACACACTGGAGACTTGTATGTGAAAACACAGATCTTAAGCTCTAGATGTCACACTTTTGAAGGAAATGAGGACCATGTCCCTAATGGCATCCTGTACAGAAGTCAGAAAAGCTACTTACCCCATATAAGGCAGGACTACAAGACTAGTGATGAGGACGATGATGCGCAGCACGGAGCTGGGGGCCAATACAAAGGTCTTCTTCAGTGTCATCAGCCAACCCGTCAAGTGCGCTCTTACCGTGACTGCTCAGAGAGAGCGGAAAAGGGCATCAAGTGATAGCCTTTCTCAGGACTCCTTTGCCCCCACTTCTGCTAGGGGCTTTCAGGGTCCTCCATATTCAGACAAGTCCAGATTACAATATGTTTGGAGGCTACTTTCTTCCCTAATAGATTATTTATGAAGGCTTCTAGGCTGAGGCAAAGGGGTAGTCAAGTCTTAAGGGGCTGGTTGGTAGCACCCCACATGTATTAAACATATCTCTGCTTGGTTTCCTGGCCCACTGTTGCTTAATTTTCTTGTTTAGGTTCACTTGAAGGAATTTTAATAGGAACCTAAGTTCCTTGCAATAAAATAGCAATAACAAAACAAATCTTAATGAAATACTTTGCTTAGTACCCCGTCCTCTCGAATGCATATCTTACTCATCCAATCTTGTGTTCCATTTGCAGTTCTTATTGTCCTACAAAACTGGCAGACTTTTTATTTCCCCAAACCAAGCACTTCCTCATCTTGTCTCCACACTCTGTTCCAATGTTCTTCATCTTCCTTCCCGTCAGTCTGTCCAGTCCTACCCCCACCCCCATGACACATAGGTCATGTCTTTCCTCTGCCTGCAGCTCCCTTGGTCCACTGACTTCCATGTCAATATCCCCTTTCTCTGAAGTTCTGTAACATGCATTGTCTGCAGAATTTGTTTTGGTCCCAAATAATATGCTTCTTTGTAGGGTATATTTCCTGTGTGCTGATCTTATCACCCTAATTAGACCCTAAGCTCCAGGTAGGGTCAAGGATCACGTGTTATGCTTCTTTTAGAGCTCTCAGACTGCCTAGGTATGAGTTAGGTACTCAAAAAACACATGCTGACTGTTACACAAGGGACTCTTGCTTAATGAAAGATCAAACTGATTTTTCTTAGTAAGGAAAGCCCAGAATGTCTGTTTATTCCATCTGGAACCTCCCTTAAAGTTTTGCATTTTGAAGGGACTTAAAGAGGACAGCATGCTTGCATCTTTTGAAAAGTAGCAGCCAGCTACAGTTAAACAAGTGACAATGGGCCTGAGCCTCTGCTGAGCCAGCATCAGGCAAACAAACACTGGAGGAAAAAGTACTCTCTGTTGGGGGAGGAAATCTAATTTCTAGGGCACAGTTCATGGAAAGAGAAAATTTATCGGCTGTATTCCCGTGAAACTATGTGTGTTAACTTCCCACTGGAGAGGCCAGTTAACTTTTATAGTTCATTTTACTTTTTTAGTAAAAAATAGTTTTGTCTGGTTAAGGAAGTGACAAACCACATGTTAATTTGATTAGCCACAACATGAGGAAGGAAACACAGAATTTTACAGCTACAAGGAACTTTAAAGATCATCTAGTTCAATCTCCTTCATTTTAGGGAAGAGAAAACAAAGGCCCAGAAAGATACAATTCCTGTTTTTAGACAAGAAATATTCTTCTAAACTGCAGACACACAGATGCCTCATTGCTTTTGGGACCAGTCACTACAATGCTGGGCCTTCTTTACAAACCTATCTCACACACAAGGCCAGGACAAGTTTTATTTCATGCGAATACAGCCAGCTCCTACTCTGGCTACTTCACAATTCAATATTTGTTCAGTGAACCCTGATCAATACGGGTCTGGTTCTTCCATAAATCTGCATTTACCTGCTCATTGGACAGTTTCTGCTGATGCCCAAGAAAACGAAAGCAGCAGCATGTGCAGAGGCTTGTTGCTGTGGTCTAGGAAGTCGCTGAGTCTAAAAGCGGCCATGACTTGGAAATTCTGTCTCAACTGCTCTACCCTGTTCTTACTGTACTGTGGGCAAATAATGACAAAATGTATTTTGTACTTTTTTAATCACTCTGGAACATTTCTCAACCTGTAGATTCTTTGCTATCTTTTGGCATTTCAGTGCCCTAATTTTCCAATTGTTTTAAACTATCATTATTTTCCTTCTTAGTATTCCAGGTCACACCCTCAAGTTTCTTCCCCAGCCCTGCTAGTAAAGCCAACCATCCTTCTTCTGACCCTCATTTTATTGCCTCTGTTGTCTTTTAAACTGCCACCTGTGTTTATCTCAAATGACACAGCACATGCAAAGTACATAAAGTTCTATATTATTATTAGTACTACTTTCTTGATTTTTTACATCTTTTTTTTTCTTTCCTCTATCAAATCTCCTTGTAAAAATGTAGTTTCGATAAACTATTTACTCCCAAATAAGAAGACCAAAGGGAAAGGCAATCAGGAAGTTTTACCTGGAACTGGGAAGAAGGAGAAAATGCGCAAAGGAATAACACAGAGTTCTGCAAAGGCAAAGTCCACTCCGATGATGTCAATCAAAATCTTCTCTGAAACGTTGGGGGTCCAAAACATCACAAAGCAGAGCTAGAAGGAAATAAAAGCTATTAAACAATCATGAAAGCAGATTCCAAATCATTAGTGAGAGAAACGTAAATTAAAATAAATGAGGTTATATTTCACAACCAAACTGGCAGAGATGGCAATGATAAAAATGGTAAATTTTGGAGAAGCTGTGAGGAAAAACAGCCACAGTAATGTGCTATGAATTGGTCCAATTGTTCTGGGAAACAATCTCAAATTACACTAAAAAAAATCCCCATTAAATTGCATATATCCTTTGACACAGCAATTCTAGCACTAGGAATGTGTCACAAGGAGGTCATACACAGAAGGAAAAGTTTCATATATATCAGCACACACATAATTGCATTTTTTTTCTTTTGGTAGTAGCAAAGAAATGGAAAAAAAGGGGTTTGGCAAAGTGAATAAACATTTATTAATAAGTACCTACTCAACACTTTACAAATATTATCTCAGTTGATCCTCATAACAACCTTGAAAAGTAGTTATCCATCAATTAGGATACAGCTGAACAAATTATGGTCTAGAAGTATAATGGAATATTATTGTACCATAAGAAAAAATAAACATGAAGAAGTGGGAGAAATTTGAAAAGGCTTGTATGAACTAAAGCTGAACAAAGTAAGCAGAACTAGAACAACGTATATGACCATCTCAGTAATGCAGAGGAAAACACACTGATAGACTCCAGTGGTCAATCATGATGTCAGAGGACTTAATGGTGGAGCATTCATTCCTTCTGCCTATCTGCAGAGCTGTAGTTGACAAGACACATTGACAGACATAGTCATTATGCCGATTCGTCTTACTAGACTACTCATTTATTATAGGGGAGCTAAGGGGTCATTAGGAAGAGACAATGATGTAAAGAAAAAGAATATCAATAAAATACATTAATAAGAAAAAAGAAGGAATAGCTAAAGATAAGGAGGAAACACATTTTAAACCTGTACAGGGACACCTTGAAATTCTTATGGAGGCTGACACCAGAGAGGATTTCATATAACTCACTTGATACCAACTTATCAGGCCTGCCTGGGAAGGTATTCCTTTTTAATTAATTAATCAATTAATTAATTGATTAATTTTTAGTTTTCAACATTCCCTTTTATAAGATTCTGAGTTCTAAGTTTTCACCCCTCCCTTCCCCACCCCCTCCCCAAGACAGCATGCAATCTGATATAGGCTATATGTGTATGACCACATTATACATATTTCTACATTAGTCATGTTATAAAAGAATAATCAGAACAAAAGGGAAAAACCATTAGAAAGAAAAAAGAAAAACAACAACAACAAAAAACAAGCAAATAGTATGCTTCCATCTGCGTTCAGACTCCATAGTTCTTTCCATCATGAGTCTTTTGGAATTGTCTTAGATCATAGCATTGTTCAGAAAAGCCAAGTCTAAGAAAAGCTTAAGTCTAAGTCATTGCACAATGTTGCTGTTACTATATAGTGTTCTCCTGGTTCTGCTCACCTCACTCAGTTATCACAGTTATCAGTTCACGAAAGTTGTTCACGGTTTTTCTGAAATCTGCCTGCTCACCATTTCTTATGGAACAACGGTATTCCTTTACATTTACACACCACAATCTGTTCAGCCATTTCCTGATTGATGGGTATCCCCTCAATTTTCAATTCTTTGCCACCACAAAAAGAGCTGCCATAAATGTTTTTGTACATGTGGGTCCTTTTCCAACTTTTTAATGATCTCTTTGGGATACAGACCTAGTAGTGGTATTGCTGGATCAAAGGGTATGCACAATTTTATAGCCCTTTGGTCATAGTTCCAAACTGTTCTCCAGAATGGCTGGATCAGCTCACAACTCCACCAACAATGCATTAGTGTTCCACAGTTTTTCCACATTTTCTCCAACATTTATCATTTTCCTGTTTTGTCATGTTAGCCATTCTGATAGGTGTGACATGGTACCTCAGAATCATTTTGATTTGCATTTCTCTAATCAATAGTGATTTAGAGCATTTTTTCATATGACTACAGATAGCTTTAATTTCTTCATCTGAAAACCACCTGTTCATATCCTTTGACCATTTATCAATTGGGGAATGACCTGTATTCTTACAGATTTGACTCAGTTCTCTACATATTTTGGAAATGAGGCTTTATCAGAGACACTAGCTATAAATATTGTTTCCCAGCTTTTTGCCTCTCTTCTAATCTTGGTTGCATTGGCTTTGTGCAAAAACTTTTTAATTTAATGTAATCAAAATTATCCATTTTGCATTTCATAATATTCTCTATCTCTTGTTTGGTCATAAATTCTTTCATTCTCCATAGATCTGACAGGTAAACTATTCCTTGCTCTCCTTGTTTGCTTATAGTTTCACTCTTTATGTCTAAATCGTGTACCCATTTTGACGTGATCTTGGTATACAGTATAAAATGGTGGTCGATGCCTAGTTTCTGCCACACTGTTTTCCAGTTTTCCCAGCAGTTTTTGTTAAATATTGAGTTCTTGTCCCAGAAGCTACAGTCTTTGGGTTTATCAAATAGTAGATACTATAGTCATTGACTACTGTGTCTTGTGTACCTAACCTATTCTACTGATCCACCACTCTACTTCTTAGTCAGTACCAAGTAGTTATGATGATTGCTGCTTCATAACACAGTTATGACACCTTTCTTTGCATTTCTTTTTATTAATTGGGAAGGTATTCTTGAATGGTTTCTTGTAGATTCCACAATCATCCTCTAACTACCAATCATTTTGTTTCAGATAGGCAAGGTGGTACAGTGGAATGAGCAACTGATTTGGCATCAGAAGATTGGGTCCAAATCCCACATCTGACACACTGCCTGTGTGACCCTGGGCAAGTCACTTCACATCTAGACCTCCCTTTCCTCATCTGAGGGACCTGAGGTCCCTTTCAGCTCCAGATATATAGTGCTATGAGCCATAACAAACAGAATGGAATGAAAGTTTCTTATGGGGATGGACTGTCCTGTTTGTCATTATATCTCTGGCACCTGGCACAGAGTGAACACTTACTGAATGATTGAATGAATGAATGAATGAACAGTGGTGAACTTAGCAGACCTTGCAATTGGAATACTATCCATACTGCTGCCATCATCACTCTACTTTCCCATATTCAGTGGCAGGAAATGAGCAATTGATTCTGTGGTAGAATATATGAAATCACTTAGAATTCTCTATTGCCAAGAGGTCTGCAGGTACTGCAGCTATATTGATTTATATCCCTTCAGTGATACCTCAGTCTGCAAGGAACTTTGAGAACACAGCAGTCCTGGGAAACCTTAAGAGAAGTGTCAGCAAGGAGCAGATGGACAGAGGCCACAGGGTCAATTGGAGAAAGAAATATCCACTTACACTGCCACTTACTAGCTGTGTGATCCTTGGCCAGTCACTTAACCCTTTTGAGCCCAAACTATAAGATTGTAAGACAGGGTTAATAACACCTGTGTCTTATACTTTAGGTGGTTACTCTGTAAAGTGTAGACTATGGTTCAACTGGAAGGTCCTGCTAATAAAATATGGGACCGGGGGGGGGGTGGGTGGGAAGGGATAACATGTTCTTGTTAAAAACCCCACTGCATTTTAGAAGGATTTCTCGGCTCAACATTAACATGCTTGTTGAGAGATTGAGGAAGTTTGGGGTTTTTACTAACTTTTTACCTAAAATGACTTAAATTTAAAAATCACATTTTCATCCACAAGCTTTTGGGGAAACCAAAACCAAGCACTATATTAGACATTCAATGACATCATAATAATACTTATGCATGTATGTTACTTTATGTTTCTCCAAGTCTTTCACACTCTTATTGAGGTCATAAGACCTGAAACCAAGTAAGAAAGCAAAGTCAAGCGTGTTATTAGTGAAATAGTTCTGGTCTGGTGCATCAAAAATGATTCCTTCTGGTGGGTAGAGACTACCCTACCTAATTATCAGGCTTCCAGAGGCTGGTATAAAAGGCACAGTAGAGGTTAGAATAATTCTCTGTTTATTAATCTGGGAGCCAGGAGATCCACCATGGTCCTAGGTTGACCTATGGATAGTCAGACTTTTCCAGGTCATGATCTCTTCAGGCCTCAGGCTTCTTCATGAAGAAATATGGTTACTAGCACTACCTGCCTCCAGCACTTAGCACAGTGCCTGGCACACAGCAGGAGCTTAATAAATATTTGTTGACTGACAAATTACATAGGGATATTATGGCATTTCATTAAAAAAACTATGAAAACAAATATCTTCATGAAAGTGCTTTGAAGGAAATCTGTATTTGTCATGTCTAACACTGCAAATTGACAGGACCCTTCACCAGAGATATCCTGTGTGAGAAACAGTAAAAATGCTTGTTTACACATTAATAATATAAGTACAAAGCAGAATATAATGAAGAGGTTTCCCTCTCCCCAGTTTATCCAAGCACTGTACCTATTTGGCACTTGGGCAGTATCAACACCTCCCCCAATGTAGTATACTCCTCGGCCTAATACCTTTTTCCTCCTCACTAACTGTCCTGGGCCAAATGGACACAGCCATTGTTACTCTACCCACTCCCAGAGTTCCTTTTCTAACATTATCTGGTTCCTCAATAACAGGGACCTTCTTCCTTAGCCACATTACACTTAGGGGACCTCCTGGGGATCGCCCAAGAGTGGTGGAGGAAATGAAAGCACGGCTTCTGGCTAACTTATATCTTCCCTCTTGACCTCCCTCTTGGCAATATGTCTACCTAACTTCTAGTGAGAAGGAAGGTCACACAAGGACACTTCCACTAACTCTCAGGCAAAGTCAACTAAGAAAGTAGTTTTGCACTTTTTCTTCTGACTTGCTTTGGGGCCTTGGGTAAATGATTCATTTGCCTAATACTTCAAGTTTCCCATTTCTATTGCAAGGTTTCCTGGTCTCTCAGACTAAAAGTAACATGTGGATTTTTTTGTCTTTTTCCAAGGCCGGTATCTGCTTTGCTACTCATGAGCTTCTGAAGTATTCTGGTAATTAAAAAAAAA